ATAAATACATATTGGTACATATAGGTTAATACAGCCGAATAACTGGACGTATCGGATTACCGAACGGCCAGATTACCGAGATTCTACTGTATTTCTAAAAAATATTTGTACAATTAATATATTTGATTTTGTCATGGATATTTTCAAGTATAATTTGTGTATGGTAATTTTTAAAATTGTTTGCACAAAATAATTAATTTTACTTAAAAAATACCATGTGTATTATTATTTTTTATATATCAAAACTCTTGGAAATAATCAAAATTTAAAAAAACTAACTTTGTCCACATAAATGACCCGTATATCCTGATTTGCATTTACATTTATCAGTGCCTGGTGTACAATGAATATTCGGACATTGATCTTCAGCACATCTCGAAACACAATTATCGTACAACTGAATTTGATCTTTGCAACACCTTTTCACCTTGCGCATTTTAGGCACCGTCTAAAAAAAAAAAAAAAAATACGAAAATTCAATACGAAAACAAAATATAAAAACGTCGTTTACTAACAACATTCCTGAGTACGGTCCTAAACTCTCGCTTATTGTCTGGACATCTTGGTGGTATGTCCAAACACCATTTATACTTAGTAACTTGTACAGGTTCATTGATGCTGACTGTGACGACCTCATCGTAACTTTAAACACATATAGTACATACATAATTATATTTCGCTTTGTTAATATCGTATATTATTAAATTTGTGGAATAGCGCAACTTAATCTTTTTCTTAGGCTTCAGGAGTGTCAAGCCCATTTGTTAAAAACATTAACCTATCATGCAGTCGTTATTTTTTCAATATTCTCAAAATATGTTTTCATATTAATCATTTTATTATAATAATTAAAATGAGGCATAGGTCACCACAAAACATACCTACCTCGTTTTATAGTTTGACGTTTAAAATGTGCCATCGTTTTTAAAAATGTACCCACCTTTCAGTGAAATCGCAGTCAGTGTTGTAGCATAGGCATGGTTTTGACGGGATCGTTACCCACAGGAACGCAAACAGAACAGCGGCATTCGAATACGACGTCGTTCCGCGCATTATTGTAATGTATACTTAGATACAATTCTCCACCGGCCACCAGGTAACTTATACACTTATACACAAGCGTGTCATGTATATTAAACATGTATAAATCTATCCTCGTAAAAGATCACAGTCAGAGTTCGCGCGGTGTCCAGACGTGAATAGATAGTTAGACGACGAAAAGGGCCATGTATGTAAATATGTTATTGAATTACGTACACGTTTGTGTAAATCGATCGAGCGCCGGTAGAATATACCGGTAGTCGCTAATATTACATTAATATAACGCGCACGACGACGACGACGACGACTAACAACGTATACGATAGTTGTTGGCAGTAGAGAGGATTCGGTTTGCTTTGAAAGGGTCAATTAAGTGATCTCGTTCGAAGAAGGGGGGCGTTAAACGGTGTATTTAATCTATACGAGTTTGAACGTCATGTATGACACAAGTGAACTCCTAAATTGAAATAGTCTTTTACACAACAAATTTTATTCACAGAATGAATAAATATAATATTATAGTGTATCTTCCTAAATGACTATATGGCTACATAATACTTATATTTAATTTATATTTTTAAAGTTAAACATACGTTGGGCTTAAAATGTTTAGATGAATATATATCGTTAGGTATTAGTATGTAGCTATAAGTTACTTAAAGTTTTCATTCAAATATACATCTTATTACTTTTTGGAAGTAAGGACGATGATAAATTATAATTTACAATAAAATAAACATTTAAGCTGCTAAAATAAATATTTCCCAGGGCGTGGTATAGAGCTAGTCCAATTTCCGAGCATACAGATATATAGCTCTTATACGAATACAAGATAATTTACATAAGAAATCATTCAAAATATTTGTTAAGATTTTGAAAAATGCAATTATATTTTTATGTAATTTTTGAAAAAAAAAAAAAATTACAAAAATTTAACATCGCGATTGTAACAGCCTATAGACATCAACTTTAATTATAATAATGTATGTATGTCACATGGATTGCGTTCAAGTAATACGCATCTCCAGGCTACAACTAATGAATAACATTGAAAATAGTTTTAGGAGTAATAAAATATTATTGAGAAAATTGTATAGTCATTAGATTCTTCAGTACTATTCAAATCAATCTCTAAACCAGCATACTCCTTTATTGGTCCGTTTCTTTTTACAAATTGTCAAAGGTATGTTTTTGTATTTCATTAATAGTCAATTTACTGAAAGATCATAAATCAAAGTATTTTATTAATATGGAAGGAAACCAAATGAACACTATTCATGAATTTTACATCACACATGAACTTCTAATTGAATACAAAAAAATAAACCAATAAAATATTCTATAAAATCTAAGGTTGAAATATTCATTTTTTTTTTCAAGAAAAATTTTGAAAATATTTTATTCATTCAACAGAATATTAACTTTTTTGTATTTATAATCAACAATGTTTCAATCTCTATACCAGCAGTAGTAAAAATAAAGCACTACAAATACAAATTAAGGACGAGGGTTATGCGTAATACAATGTTACATTATTTAATAATGTGTCGTTTGACACAGGATCATTTTCACGAAACCCACTAACATTGAATTTTAGAATTTATGTTTTTAACCGTTACAAATATTTACTAACATGTATTTTTAAAGTATGTTTTATTTTTAAGAAGGGGCCCTAACTATTAAATTGTAAATATGCCACTCATGATATTATATTTTATAATGTTTGTATTTATTATTTTATTAATAGTTCCATCAGAAAACACGTTGTATAATACAACATAGGTCCCAAATACAAAAGTTCTATGAAATATTTTATAGATCATTGCTTATTACCACTAGGTACATTATTATTTTCAGTGTACATTTATAATAATGTAAATTGTATTGTGATGTATTTTAATAAATTTATAATAATAATTTTTATAGAATAATTATGGACTTTTTTTAATCGTCATGCATCAAAAAATAGCTATAGAAAAAAAAACAAAACACTCATGTATTTTTCGTAATTGGTACCTACAGGACGTACATGATATATATACGCCGATACATATCAAGCTCCGGTGTTATACTTTTGCAAAAATATGAAATTGAAGATCAGTTCATAATATTGTACATTTCTCTCTAATACATGTTTTTTATGTATTTTTTTCTAACTTAGTCATTTTATGAAAATTCGTACAACTGTGAAACTTATTTATTTTCATTGAATACAAAATGTCAGAAAGCCAATTTAATTCACCCGAATTGAAATTGAAATTACAAAAAGAACTTAATGAGCCGTCTGATCCACAGTTAGCTATTGATGAATTACGTACATTAATTAAAGGTATGCAAAACCTATAATAATTAGAGATGTTAATAAATATGAATAATATTTTTATTGGTTTCATTAACAATCCAAAAAAGTGTAATTAAAATTTTATTATAGTTATGAAAATAGCCATAATAATTTTAATATTTTCTTTTACATGTATAATAAATTATCAAGTAAATTCATTAGGTATTTATCATAAACATAATTATTAATTTTATAAGATATATTGTAAAAATTTTCATTTTTAACAATAAGTTGAATATAAGGAAGAATGATACTAATAACATCTATATCATAAATAAATAAGATAGTACCTATTTAATTTTAATAACAATAGTATAATGTATACGATATACATTACTTAGTATTATTATATAATTATTAAAATAGCTCGTTTAATTTTGAAAGGTGATATTTTTTTGAACTCAAGAATGGATGATGCATTTATGCTTAAATTTTTAAGAGCTAGAAAGTTTCGAGTAGATAAAGCATTTAAATTGGTAAGTAACTAATTAAAATATTTGAAATTCAAAATACATAATATATTAGGTAATATAGTATTAAAAAAAAAATTTACTTCAGTGAAATGTAGTAGTTATATCATAGATTAATCTTTGGTTATATTTACTAATATGTGTGAAAAACAAAATTATTTACAGTTAAGTATGATTCTTTAATCTTAGATGATAATATTCATATGTTAAAGATTTTAGTGACATACGTCATACATATACCTATAAAATATTGGTTTTGTTTTATTTACCTATCAATTAAACATATGCTTATATTTACTGTATGTCTATAAATACCCCTGGTGGGTTGGGGTTAGAATAGACCAC